TAGAACTAGGCATGGTTATAGTGACACCTATGGTCCCAGCTACTTAGGAGGCCGAGGTAGAAGGATCACCAGAGCCCAGGAGTTTAGAGGCTTATGATTACAAAAGACCCTGTTCAAAAATAGAAGAGACCAGGCACAGTGGCTCATGCCTTTAATCCCAGCACTCTAGGTTAAGGCAGGAGGATTGCTTGAGCTCAAGAGTTTAAGAGCAGCCTGAGCAAGAACGAGACCCCATCTCTACTACAAACACAAGAATTAGCCAGAAGTTGAGGAAGGCACCTGTGGATCCTCCTCCACTGAAAGAGGAGGATTGCTTGAGACCCCAGGAGTTTGAGGTTGCTGTGAGCTAGGCTGACACTATGGCACTCTAGCCAGGGCAACAGAGAAGAGAGGAAAGAAGAGAAAATCACTTTTGTTTCCAGATCTTGTTTTTGGTTAAAATGTCCTATTTTTGTTGTTCTTGGTTTTTTTTAACCCGGAGTTTTATTGTAATGTTTACATCACATTGTATAATGCCTAGATTTGATGTTATTGCATTTTGAGACCATGAGAAATGTACAGTAACAGAAACACACAACATACAATCTGTGGGTACTTGGAGGCATTTCAATAGGAAGAGAAAAAGAAATTGTGAATTTCTTTGTGAAATGTATGTGAAGAAGCACCGATCAGACAAGTGCTAGCAGAGGAAATGCACCACAGGTGCACACAAGCAAGCACGTACACACACATGCATACAGGTGCACACAAGCACACACATGAGCACATATGCACGCACACATGCAGATGAGTACACAAGCATACATGTGTAAGTACATATGCATACACACACAGAGCATTCAGCATGAAGATTACAAATCGAGGCCACATATGGTCCTGGCTAAGGGTTTCCACATGGAGCTCCTTGGACCTATGGGCCTTCCTCGGAAGGGACCCCACAGCAGCTTGTATGGGGAATGCTGGGTCAATGGAGGCAAACAGACTCACTCCATCAAATGTTTCTCCTTCCCTGATTCGTGACAATCTCTAGGTTTCTCTCATGTTTTGTTAGTGCTGACTTGTTGGTACACAGCACACACCCTCTGTCCAACCATGTCCACATGGCCTTCAAGTTGCAGGTAGCAGGGGTGCTGAGGTGGATTTTCTTCTCCATCCTTCCTCAGGCCTTGTGGACTGGCTATCCCACTGTTGGGCCTTCAGGATACTAATTCAGCAATCTCTAAGGAATGCCTGGCCTGAAGCCATAGCCACGACAAACATGATGTGGTATTGACACTGGCCACCCCTGTGGTTCTGTCTCCTCTCAAGTAGCTCCTGGGGGCTACTTCAGGGGTTCCCTCAGATACCCCTATCCCAGAGCCCAGGGCTTCATTTAAAGGGTGAGTCTGTGGTGAGCAGGTGCTGAGAATGTCCTCCCCACTCCCCGGCTTCAAACAGTGCTCTGCAAGACAAACTAAATGCCAGAGCTGTTCAGGGGTATTTTTGTCACTAAAATGACCCAAATGGGCTGGGCCCAGTGGCCTGTAATTCCAGTTGGGAGGATCCCTTGAGCTCAGGAGTTCCAAACTAGCCCAAGTACAAGAGGGAAACCACCATCCCTACTAAAAATAGAAGAGAGTTTCAGTTGCTGTGAGCTAGGCTAACGCCACAGTACTCTAGCCCGGGTAACAGAGAACACCTGTCTTAAAAAAAAGAGAAACACCCCTAATTGTTTCAGAAAGTCTTGATGCTAGATGACAATGCAGTATATTCTGACAAGCCTAGAGAAAAGTGATTTTGAACATAAAATTCTTTTCCTGGCCAAATACAATTAAGAGTGAAAGGAAAGTAAAGGATAATTCAGGCATTCAAACACTCATAAACAGCTGCCTCCCTACTACTCACATCATCCTGCAGTGAAGTAGAACTAATCTTCTAGCTCAGAATTTGGGCCAGTGGAGATCAATTCCCCATTCACTTTATCCCCAAAAATGATTCATAGGACGTACTGCTTACACATGAACCTTTGCCTATTAAATTTTCATCCTAGGCAGCGCCTGTGGCTCAATGAGTAGGGAGCCAGCCCCATATACTGAGGGTGGCAGGTGCCTATAGTCCCAGCTATTCAGGATTGGGAGACAGAGGCAAGAGAATCACCTATGCCCAAACACTGGAGGTTGCTGTGAGCTGTGACACCACAGCACTCTACTGAGGGTGACAAAGTGAGAGTCTCTAAAAAAAAAATGAAATAAAATAAATTTTCAACCTAAATATGAACTTAGAGATGAAATTTTGTTACTGTTTTATTTTTTATTTTTTTTGAGACGGAGCCTCAAGCTATCCCCCTGGGTAGAGTGCCATGGCATCACGCTCACAGCAACCACCAACTCCTGGGCTCAAGCAAGTCTCCTGCCTCAGCCTCCCAAGTAGCTGGGACCACAGGCGCCCGCCACAATGCCTGGCCGTTTTTTTTGGTTGCAGCCATCATTGTTGTTTGGCGGGCCCGGGCTGGGGATACGAACCCGCCACCTTAGGTGTATGTGGCTGGCGCCCTAGCCGCTTGAGCCACAGGCGCAGAGCCACTGTTTTATTTTTTAATTTCTTAGAGACAGAGTCCCACTTTGTCACCCTTGGTAGAGTGTTTGTCATAGCTCACAGCAACCTCAAACTCTTGGGCTCAAATGATTCTCTTGCCTTAACCTCCCTACCTAGTAGCTGGGACTACAGGCGCCCACCACAACGCCTAGCTATTTTTAGGGATGAGGTTTTTGCTCTGGCTCAGGTTGGTCTTGAACCTGTGAGTTCAGGCCACCCACCCACCCTGGCCTCCCAGAGTGCTAGGATTACAGGTGTGAGCCACCACACCTGGCCTTTTATTGTTTTAAATTGTTTAAATACAGCATTTTAAAACTGTTTAGATAGTAACCTCTCATTTTTCTGAAACTGTGTTGACTAAGTTTTACTACTGGAAAATATAAATCTATCTCCAAGAAGAAATACTTAACATTTAGAAAACCCCAGTGTTTTCTACAATCTATTATTATTATTATTACTATTATTATTTGCAGTTTTTGGCCGGGGCTGGGCCTGAACCCATCACCTTTGGTATGTGAGGCTGGCGCCCTACTCCTTTGAGCCACAGGCTAAATTTTGGAGGAATGGTTTAGAATCTAACATTTCTTGTTCAGAAAAAATATATATATACAACTGACTTCAACAGTTCTTTTAGTTTTGTCCTTCCTTCAGATTCAAATAAAACGGATTTAATCATTTTTATCTTTTAACAGGTTAGACAAAGAAAATCCTATAATGGTCAATCTACCTATAGATAGATGGCTTAGTGTTCTGACTGTAACATGGTGTGAGCTCCTTTGATTCTGGCAAGGATTTGGCTTCTCTTTTGTCTTTGATACTAATTTGTCATTCCTAAACTTAAGGTATTTTTAACTGTAAAATAATTCTTTCACAGATCCTGCCTCTTAAGCATATTAATTATTAGCATGTACCTATCACACCTATCACACAACTGTTGCTAGTATCTTAGAAACATTTTTATTCATATGACACTTCTACCAATTATAACGTTCTCACAATTACATTTCCTCATAAAAATTCAATTAATGTAACTTGAAGAATTAAATGGAAGAGAAATCTAAGCAGCAGGAAGACTGAGGTACACTTCCCGCTAATTAGTCAATATCCTGATATTTATGTAGAGCAGCTAACTCCCCTTGCTACCCAGGCTGGAAACTCAGTGTGTCCTTGTACAGGGTACCAGGGTCGCCACAGCAGATGGTCTTCCCACCTCAGGAGCTCCTCCTTCCCAAGGACAGGGCAGCCACCATTGCCTTCTCTAGGGACTGAGGCCTAATTGCAGTCTTATGCAAGATTATTCCAGTTTGAAAGCACCAGGAAAAGCAGTTATAGGCCCTGGCAAGACCATACCCACAAGGTGCAGACCCCACAGGGGAGCTGAAATAGCTCCCATGTCACAGCACCCTCACCCAGTGCTGAAGGCCAAGCACCCACTCGACAAGCCTGCATGCACGCTGGTGCCCCTGGGAGGGCAGTGGCTGTGGGGCACTCACCCCATAGAAGCAAACCTCAAAGCACTTCAGGCAAAAACACAGGAGTCACAGTTTTACACACTTAAAAGAGCAAAGTTATCACTTTTTTTACTAAAAGCTACCAAAATCTAATCTTACTTTGTTCAGCAATATTTGTTCCCATGAACTTGCCTATAACCCTCAAAGGAATTTTAGATGAACCCACATGTGGATGAGGCACAATAGCAAGGTGTGAATGGATGGCTGCTCACTCCAGGGGCGCACGCAACTGAGAAGGTCCATAAGTCAGAAAACAAAAGGCCTCTGTTAGGAGCACTGCAGGTAACATTATGATAGACTTTTGCTGCCCCTGCTTCCTAAAGTTTTATTCAGTCAGCACAGCTGCCTGTGATGGAATAGGTATGGCAGGGCAGCACTATCAGCGGAGTGGATAACCTAATAAATGTCGCATCTTGACGTCTTCTCATCTCCTCTGAAAACCCAATGCACAGGCATTATCTGTGGACCCCAAGAGCTTTACGAGAGGCAGGATCACAATCCCGATCATAGATAAAGACACGGAAGAGCTAAGGGACTTTACACCAAAACACAGGGTCCTGGCACCACAGCATGAGCTCTGTAGGCTAGGTGACACCACATCTCCACTGCAGACACAGTTAAGATCACACACAAAATCTCTAAAACCACACAAGGTGATAATTAAACATCTAGAAAGTGACTAAGAGGAAGAGAAAAGGACACCACAGGGCCATGTGGTTGCAGAGGATCCTAAGGAGAGAATAGTTGCTCTCAGAGTAGTGGCTGAGGTCTGGAGAGCTGCCCATGGGGCAGGGTGTGGCACAAGCCCTGGATGGAGCTAGGGTCCACAAAGCTCACCACATGCAATACGTACATAGAGTTCTTCAAACTGTCTCTGAATTTCATTGTCCATCTCAATTGCATGAAGGTTTGGGTCCCTAATGGGAAATGCTTCAACAAACAATAATGCAGCATTTGATCGAACTTCAGAGTTTCTGGCCTATAACAATAAAAGAGTATTTCAGAATCCCAGAAAGTTAACATTCAAAGGCCTAAGCCCAGTGTTCCCAACGTAATACTTTCATTATCTCAGTATAGACTTACTTACAAATTAAACTGTTACAATTATAACACTTAAATTGACCAAACTTTGTAATGTTTTCCTTAAACTAAGCCGAACTTAGTTCAATGTCAATAGACTGACAAAAAATCAGTTTTCTCCCTTGAAAAAAAAAAATCAGTTTCCTCCCTTTGAAGCCCCTTCGTGTCACCACTTCCCCTGATGGAGGACCCGTGGCTGGCCTTGCAACCCAGCCATTCCCTCTGCAGCATAGCCACCTCAAAGCACCTGTGTAGTCTGCACTAAACTAACCCAAATTGACAGTTAAGTGAACCCAAGAATGGTTTTTGATAAAAGAAAAACACACTTTTTAAAAATTCCACAAAGCACTCAGTTCCAAGTCTTATTTCTACTGCCCAATCACAACTATGAATTAGAGTCGCCAAATTCATATGCATGATTAGCACAGTCCACCCAGCAGAAAGCAAAGGCACCTTCAGTCCTCTCCAAAGGATGGGTTTGTATAGCCGACACAGCATTTCTTCCACTCCTTGACGTACTTTTTTCTGATGGTGGAAGTAACTGAGCACCTAGGGGCCAAAAATAAAGGAGGAAGAAAAGAAAGGCAGTGTTGAAACACTGTTTTGAAATGACTGACACCCAAGTGCCACAGACAATTTCCCCAACAAGAGCAACTGTGCAGGGAAATTGACACTCTACTGGGCTCAACACCTGAAAGAAATCTAAGGTTCAAATAAACATCAATGACTTTGAGCTACAAAATAGTCTGGGTCTGGCTACTGTCTGCCAACAGCCACACATGCTCCAAGACAGGCACTGAACCTCTGACCTTCAGGGTGATGTAGTAAGGGGTGTGGAGGCATGTGCCTGAGGGGTCCAAAGACTCTGAACCTCTTTATCAGCAACCCAACAGCAGTGCTGTGTCACAAAGAGCAGGGAGGAGGAGCCACCACCAATGACCACTCACTGCACAAGCTCAGCCTCCCAGAGGTCAAGTACCATCCAAAATGGTCACTCCTGAGCCTCCACTCCTTTCTTACTTCCCTGCTAGACCTGTCCTGAAATTCTTTACAGATGCTTGTCCTCAATAACAACCAAGTTTGCCTGACTTCCTTTTTTTTGTTTTTTGCAGTTTTTGGCTGGGGCCAGGTTTGAACCTGCCACCTCCGGTATATGGGGCCAGCGCCCTACTCCTTTGAGCCACAGGCGCCTCCCATTTTGCCTGACTTCTTTAACTCATACTTCTTGGAGTTAAAATTTATTAGTGGCTTGGCGCCTGTGGCTTGAGTGGATAAGGCACCAGCCACATACACCTAAGGTGGTGGGTCTGAATCCAGCCCAGGCCCGCCAAACAACAATGATGGCCAGGCATTGTGGTGGGCGCCTGTGGTCCCAGCTACTTGGGAGGCTGAGGCAGGAGACTCACTTGAGCCCAGGAGTTGGAGGTTGCTGTGAGCTTTGTTGCCACGGCACTCTACCCAGGGGGACAGCTTGAGGCTCTGTCTCAAAAAAAATAAAAATAAATAAAATAAAATTTATTAGTGAAAAATGGGGAAAAAAATTAAAAGTAAACAGGCTATGAAACAGCAGGCTGAGCCAGCAGAAGCTTGTGCCTGTGACCTCAGGCAGGAGGACAGCAGGAGTCCCAGTTACAGGGCTACAGTCGTGCTGCAGCCAGCGTGGGGAGACACACACCAGCCTCCCTCTTCAAGGACTCTGCTTGTGTCAACTGTACCCTAAAAGAACTACAGGTGGAGACTATTTGTTCTGATTATTAATTATTTTGGAGTTTTTAACAATGTTGATGTCAGGCTATAGTTTATTTTTTGTGCACAACATTCCAACCATATCAAGTTTTGGTATCAATGGTATACTCCATGGAAAGATTTTCTAAAGAGCTTTATTAAGATAATATCCATATAGCATAAAATTCATTCTTTTAAAGCGTACAATTCCATGGCCCTATATAATTCTAGAACATCTTCATCAAACACATCAGGATTTCTCGCTTCAAATGACGTCTGAAGAAATGCATGAAAGTTTCTTTCAGCATATCAATAAGATGATGTATCAGATAAATTTTTATCAAATAAAAACAATGTAAGAAACTCTAATGGGTTATACACAACGTTAAAAACAATTATTTCAATTCCAGTAATACATTTCACAGTATTTTTCCTTTGAATTATTTTTGTGTTTTTCATACACTTACCAAATAGTTATACCTATACTTAAATAATATCTTTATTACTAAGCCTACCATGGCAAAAAATTCTGTATGAAAAAAGTCATTAGTTATTTGGCACCAAGAACAAAGCAACTATATCAAACTTTTTGTGTGGTATAATATGATGCAATTCTTAGTTACTAAATAGAATTTGAAAAACCAAGTCATATATACAAAATAAATCATATATGTGAAATAAATAACCCAATGACTACAACTAAAAACCACACCGAGGCTCGGCACCCATAGCTCAGTTAGCAGGGTGCTGGCCACATAACACCAAGGCTTACAGATTTGAACCCAACCTAGGCCAGCTAAACAAGTGACAACTACAACAAACAATAGCTGGGCATTGAGGTGGACACCTACAGTCCCCGCTACTTGGGAGGCTGACACAAGAGAATTGCTTAAGTCCAAGAGTTTGAGGTTGCTGAGAGCTGTAACACCATGGCACTCTACCAAGGGTGACATAGTGAGACTCTGTCTCAATAAATAAATAAATAAATAAACAAACAAATAGGCTCGGCACCTGTTTCTCAGGGGCTAGGCTGCTGGCCCATACATGCAAGTACAACAACAACAAAAATAGCCAGGCATTGTGACAGGCACCTGTAGTCCCAGCTACCTGGGAGGCTGAGGCAAGAGAATCACTTAAGCCCAAGAGTTTGAGGTTGCTGTGAGCTGTGATGCCATGGCACTCTGCCAAGGGTGACATAATGAGATTCTGTCTCTAAATAAATAAAAAAATAAATAATAAAAGCCACAGTGTGATGGGGGACGGGGAGGAGGGGGATTCACTTAATATATGTACTTATCCTAATCATCTGAAATCATAATTTTTAAACCCTCTGGACAACTCAGTGATCTAGATAAATCTCTGGGTTCTTTATCCTTGGGTAACAAACCAAAGCATCAATAACGTAAAGAAATGTTTTCTCATCCATTCAAAATTAAGATCATTAGTACATTTATATTCTATAAACGTAATAATCCCACTACACAAAAAGCAAAGCAAAAGGCAGTCTTTATTCACTTTGCTTCATGACACATGGTTGCTAAAACTAACAGTAAGCAAATGAGTCCTGCCTGTGGATTAGAACTCTGATCAACTGCGTCTGCTCAACTTAATCAGACATTAGGACCACACTTCCAATTCCTCTTGCCAGGATCACCATGAGCAATCAAACCCCTATTAGTGTAATAATGACATTAGTGACAGAGCCTTCTGTAGTCAGACCACTTATTAAAAATAAAGATGAAATTCTTATCTAAATTCTGAGTGCCTTTTACAAATAAAATATCAAGATAAACTATCAACATTTTTATTCCATTTGGTTTTCAGAACACCGAAATGTAGATTTAATGTATAAAAGTGATTAATAAAAATAACTTCAAACATCCTCTCAGACAGCGGTTCTCAACCTGTGGGTCGTGACCTCTTTTTAACAATAAAAATACATTGTGGCATTAGGAAGGTTGAGAACCACTGCTCTAAGATCTTTGAAAAAGTGACAGTAACAGAAAGTGATAATTCTAGAAGTTCTTTGATCAACAAACTGGATCAAAGGTCATTCAAATAAAGTTCAACTACCTTAACAACAATGTGCCTTTGCTTCCTCATTAAAACTTTTGTGGCAGGAATAAAACTGCAGAATCATATCAAGATCCTGAGAAATCTCTCTAACTTACTGAAAGCCTAATTTTTAAATTTAACCAAAATAGTGATCTAAAAACAAAAAAGTGAGACAGTATTTCAAAATAATCTGCTCACAATTAATGTGGTAAGTGCCAGCTCACCTCCCGCACTTTGCAGTGCACTGGAGACTTCCTCGGAAGGTGGATTCCGTGGAACATGAAGTCCTGGATGCACCCATTCTCGATTGTCTGAAAGGACAAGGGAAATGTGGGTACTGGGCACGTGGGGCCTGCTGGGGAGCTGCCAGGTGGCAGAGCACTTGCGCACAGGAAGGGATCTGACCTCTTCATCTCGTGTCTCATGAGGAAAAACCCAGATCCTGTCACCAGAGAATTCTATTCCAAGTCCATACCTCTTAGAATTCCTTTAGTTTCCATAGACCAAGGAGAATGTTTAGCTTCTTCTATCTTATTTGACTGAATACCAAATCTGTGCCAAATAGCAAGGTAGCTCCCACCCACACTTGGGCCACTCAAATCAAAGCATGGAGACAGAGGCAGCAGGGGTGTAGAGCCTCCTGATTCACTCCAACCTGCACAGCCTTCCAGGACTGGCTCTTTTTTTATAACCTCCCTCAAACCACAACGGAGCTCCCTCTGTGGTAGAGGATTCCAGCCTGAAGTAAGACCTTCTGGGGCTGCCACTGAGAAGGGCTGGGCAGGCATGGGGGCCACCCAGAGTACAGCAGCTGAGGGGCGGCCAAGCCATCAAGAACAGCCCAAACCCTGGTGGATCACAGGGTCTGTCACCCCCAACCCTGTACCCTTCACACACATGCACAGGACTTCCACGGTTTAGGGAAGGATCTGAGGAAACTGCCTTAATGTTAACTTCCAGTACCTCTGAAACTCTCATCTGAAGACTCAGTAAATCTTAGCATCAGCAGCTTTAACACAGGACAGCCTACATATTGTGTGGCTCAGGATGAAGCAGGAGATACCCAGCTCTATTTGGGAAGTTATGGGACCAGGAAAGGTGAACCCAAACCTTCAGGACAACTGACCCACTTTCTTCAACATGTCGGGCAGCATCTGTGGCTCAAAAGAGTAGGGCGCTGGCCCCATATGCCAGACGTGGCGGGTTCAAACCCAGCCCTGGCCAAAACAAAAAGAAATAAATCTTCAACATGTCAATGGCACAGGTTTAAAAAAAAAAAAAAAAAGAAGAATGAGAAGGAGAGGAGGAAGGATCTAAAATAAAAGGTTTAAATGCCACAACACGTAAATGGCATGTGGGCAACTTACTGAATCTTGATTAAGAAAAAAAATAAAAAAAATCTTAAGACAAACAGGAAAATTTAAATATGGTCTAATTATTTTAAAAATGCCAAGCACTTATTATTAATTTTTTAGGTGTTACATTAACATTGTACAGTCATATTTTTTAAGAGATGCATAATGAAATATATAGAAATGAAATATCATGTCTAGAATTGCCTTACATACTTACAGGGAGGAGGGAAGAGAATTAGACTGCAGAGTACCCACAACTGGTGCTAATTCTATACGCAGATAGTCAAACAGCTAAGTTTTCAATTACAAAGTACTATTTTTTAATCTACTAGAGAACAGGAAACAAATTATACTAAGGGCAAATATTCACGTATATTTTTAAAGCAAAAAATAATGCAGAACAAATTTCATGGTATATATATGTGTATATATACACACACACACACACACACACACACATATATATATATATATATATTTTTTTTTAGAGACAGAGTCTCACTTTATCGCCATGGCATCACACAGCTCACAGCAACCTCCAACTCCTGGGCTTAGGTGATTCTCTTGCCTCAGCCTCCCGAGTAGCTGGGACTACAGGTGCCTGCCACAATGCCTGGCTACTTTTGTTGTTGTTGTTGCAGTTTGGCTGGGGCCGGGTTTGAACCCGCCACCCTCGGGATAGGGGGCCGGCGCCCTACTCACTGAGCCACAGGCGCCACCCTCATGATGTATTTTTAAAGCAAAAAATAATGCAGAATATCTTGATGTTGCCTTTCTCTCCCTAAAAAATACATACTGAAAACTTAGAAGTCATCCATACAGGACTCTAACAGGTAATTTGCTGTTTCCAGAAGAAGTCAAGGATGAACTGTTAGATGAAATCAGGCCTGGATGTGGCAGGGCAGAGACAGGATGGAAGGAGCCTGACACCAGGAAGCCACCAGCCAGCCCCACAGGTGCCTCCTCTACCAAAGCAGAACAAAGCCTGGATGGAAAAGAGGCTTGCAAAAGATGCCTTTCTGATTTAGAGTGAACAGTTTACTCTCAGAAAAAAAGAAAAACATTTGAGAACCTAGTATAAGAAAAACATATGGGAAAATAGACAAAGACACTTTTTGGCACAAAAGGTTTTTGCATAGCTGAGACTGCGAATCACATAGCCCTCTCTTCACAATATATAGACCATGCAGTCAATGGAGTGAGCTGTACACAAAGAGAACACCTTAAGTTCTCAAAAGTAACATAATGGACAGCAGTGACTGAGACACATAAGCAACAGTCCAGCAGAGATAGAACTCCAGCCACAAAGGCACATACCCCTGTGTGGCTGCATTAAAACCAACAAAAGAAACCGGTACACGGTTAATTGAATTCATGAACTCAAAACCCACAGATATGGAAAGCAACATTATTTTATTTAGTCCAATATAATATATCCAGACCACTGTCATTTCAATTTGCAACCAATATTTTTTAAAAGTATTAGTGAGATATTTTATATTTGAATAACACTGCTCAATTAGGACTGAACACATTCCAAGAGTCCAATAACCACACATGCCAGATAGCACAGGCCTGTAGCTACCCAGTGCCCAAAAACACCTGCCCACCCTCCCCTGGGCCATGTCTGGGAGCAGTGTAGCTCTACAAGCTGCCCTGATCACTGGAGTGCCTTTCTGCCACGCAACCTTCTATATGTGGCTTTACTTTGACAGAGTACATAAACATTAGTCTTAAATAACCCTTCCTTTACTATTTATTTAGTAACTAGAATGCAATGAAAGTGTTAATATTTAATACAATAAAAATACCTCCAGTACTCTTCCTGTAGCCTTTTTCCAAGCTCTGAAATAGATGTCTGCAATGTGTATGACCAAAGACCTATTAAAAAGAACAAAATATTGTCATGTAAGTTTAAAGAATTACACTTTCAACATGTATCATTGTAGTTACTCTCTCACCCTGGCACTCTGCACTGATCTGTAGAGATGTGCTACTCAGTTGTGGCAGAAAGTGGAATGAAGAGTTTGGGGAAAGGAAGGAGAAGAGACAAACTACTTCTACCTTCTCAGCCAAGGCTTGCCCAGAACTCATTACTTCCTGCGAAACTCTGAGAACATGAGCTCAAAACCAGAAAAATTTAAATATAAATAAATCTGTGACTTAGAGTCATTTTGAACTTTCCAAGCTACTAATTCCTCAGGTACAAATAAATGCCAGAATTGACTTTAGAATCTCTTAGTGTGACCCAAATATTCTGAAAATGAGGAATAGGAGAAACGATCTAGTGCACAAAAGAAGCTTTGCAACCAGGAACCAGAACCAAATCCTAGCTCGGTGCTGACCCAGCTGCAGGCCCCTTCTGCCCCACACAACCCAGTCAGATTCACCTGCAAAGTGCACATCACACCCACAACGCTATCACAGGTACTACTATGTGGGTTAAGGTCAGCAGGGCTAAGATTTAACAGGCAAACAATTTGACTATTTAAGGAATGACTACAAATTAAAATCTCTTTTGATTTCAAAATATTACAGGGTACTGGGTGGCGCCTGTGGCCAGTGAGTAGGGCACTAGCCCCACATTCTGAGAATGGCGGGTTCAAACCTGGCCCCAGATAAACTGCAACAAAAAAATAGCCAGGAGTTGTAAAGATGCCTGTCGTCCCAGCTACTTGGGAGGCTGAGGCAAGAGAATCGCCTAAGCCTAAGAGCTAGAGGTTGGTGTGAGCTGTGACGCCACAGCACTCTACTAAGGATGACAAAGTGAGACTCTGTCTCTTAAAGAAAAATTATGGGGTACAGATGTTTTTGATTACATGGATTGTTTCTGTGATGCCTGAGTTAGGGGTGCATCACCCACACAGTGTTCACTATACCCAATAAGATTTTCATATCCCTTCCTCCCCACTATCCCTGCCTAATTTCCACTGAGTTTTACTTATTTCCACTAAGTTTTACTTTAAAAATCTTAATTTCAATGGTGACTTCCTACAGAAGAAAAAAATTATTCAGTGATACAATGATACAAAATAAGTAAAACGGAGTTTTAAGCTTCCAATACACTAATACAACTTTTAAAAGCCAGGTCAGTCTGGGTGCAGTGGTTTGCACCTGTAATCCCAGCACTTTGGGAGGCCAAAGCTAGAGCATAGCTTGAGGCCTGGAGTTTGAGATTAGACTGGGCAACACAGTAAGATTCTGTCTCTACCAAAAAAAAGTAGAAAAAATTAGCCAGGGTTCATGGTTCACCCCTATAGTCCTAGACTCGGGAGGCTGAAGTAGGAGGATCATTGGAGCCCAGGACTTTGAGGTTGCAGTGAATTATGACTGCATCACTGCACTCTAACCAGGCAACAGAGCAAGAACTTGTCTCAAAAGAAAAAAAGAAAGTTAAATCAAACACAATCTTTCTTTTTTTTTTTTTTTTTTTGAGACAGAGTCTCACTTTACTGCTCTCAGTAGAGTGCCGTGGCATCACAGCTCACAGCAACCTCCAACTCCTGGGCTCAAGCGAGTCTCCTGCCTCCGCCTCCCAAGTAGCTGGGACCACAGGCGCCCGCCACAACGCCCGGCAATTTTTTGGTTGCAGCCGTCATTGTTGCTTGGCGGGTCCGGGCTGGGGATTCGAACCCGCCACCTTAGGTGTACGTGGCTGGCGCCTTAGCCGGTTGAGCCACAGGCGCCGAGCCCACAATCTTTCAAAATTAGAGTAATATAGCAAAACTTTTAATTACCCTCAATACTTACTTTTGTAATCCCTCTAACTGGTTTTTAATAGTCCCATGGATCATTTTAATAAAATTTACATTCCAATTAAAGAGAGAACTAAGAAATCTTCTGCCCTGTAAATAAAAAAGAACCAAAATTGCAACCAAATAAAAGTTCTCAATAACAGTTCTTTAAATATTGAGTGAAGTTAAAAGTTAGCTATTAGTAAGAAGGAGGGAGGCACATGTAAGTTATACTATGAAGCAAATGCACCAAGGCTGAGGCTGGAAGAGCCTCAGGGGGCACCTCCTGTCCCCAAACTGCAGGGCATTGGCTGCAGGGCCTCAGATGCCTCCTGCTCTGGAGGTAGAGCAGGAGCAGTTAGGACACTCACCACAGGCCCATAAAATTTCATTCCGGCTCTGCCACAGACTGCCATGCAACCTCACACCTACAATGCTTTAAGTCTAGAATTTATGGGTAGTAATGCAATTAAATTAGCAACACTTCATCTCTTCGTTTACCAACAGGGAAGTGAATAAGGACTCCCAGGCTGAATTCCAGGAGTTCAGTCTTAGGAGATGTACTCCAAAGCCACAGGCAACCCAAGGCAAAGACATGTGGATGACATCGTGGCCTCTGAAACCTGGGCTTATAGCTGGCACTCAATAATCAACTAGAGGGGGGCTCCAGCACAGTGGGAGGTGCTCATGCCTCATTAATAAAAGAAGATTAAATTAACTTTAACATTTTTATGTAAAATAATATAGTCAAAAATATTATCATTTATTATACTAGGTATATAAGAGATACCAAAATTACTCATCAGCTATTTTATATACTTTTTAAAGCACACTTCAATCAGACAGACTCCATCTCAAGTGCTCAGGGGCACCTGTGAGGGTGTCTCCAGGACAGCAGTGCAGCTACAAGCCAAAGCCTCCCGTGGGACTCACTGGAGGACAGGCGGGAAGGAGAAATGGAGAACACGGCGCAGTCCAAGGATGGTTCTGAGTACATGCCAGTTCAAGTGGAATCAGGGCAGAGGGCCAGATCTCGTCCATAGGGAAGTGTTTTCCCAACCTTATTTTTAATGGTTCTTAATTTAAAATGCAATTGTGGCTCTCCCAGGATTCACACAGCCACCTGTTACCATCCCATTTAATGACATAATAAGGACTTGTAAAATGTTTGCTTTAGTACTGTCTTGAAATAAAAATGATGTGCAACGAATATATACTAACTCTTGGTAGCTGAGCTGAATCTTCCAAGAACGTACTGAGCACATCACAAAGAACAACATGAACTTGGAAGAGCACGTATTTAAAAAGCAGCTCACAAACAGACCAAAACAGGAACCTCTGTACCTCTTCTTTCTTGATATGACTAATATTCATGAAGCACTCAAGCAGCATGTCTTTAATTTCTCTACTTTCCTCCAAATCATAATCAAAGCAATACAAAGCTTGATGAACATGCCAAAGCCGACAAATGTCTGCACCCTAGAAATAATGCACAAAACATGTTATATTTAGAGTTTTTATGAACAATAAAGTCATATTTCTTTTCTTTTTTTGAGTTTTACTATGTCACCCTTGGTAAAGTGCCATGGCGTCACAGCTCACAACAACCTCAAACTCTTGGGCTTAAGGGATTCTCTTGCCTCAGTCTCCAGAGTAACTGGGACTCAGGAGCCTGTGCACAATGCCTGGCTATTTTTTGGTTGCAGTTGTCATTGTTTAGCAGGTCTGGGCTAGACTGGAACTCGCCAGCCTCAGTGTATGTGGCTGGTGCCCTACTCTCTTAGCTATAGGCACTGCCCAGTCACATTTCAAATTAAGTATATTTCATATCCTAATGATATTTCTAGCTGATTCATCAAAGACTAGGAAATAATGACAAATGAAAACAGATTTTAAAATCTGCAAATGCCAGGCAGTGCCTGTGGCTCAGTGGGTAGGGTGCCAGCCACATATACTGAGGGTGGAGGGTTTGAACCCAGTCCCTGCCAAACATAACCAGGTGTTGTGGCGTGCACCTATGGTCCCAGTTACTTGGGAGGCTGAGGCAAGAGAATCGCCTAAGCCCCAGAGTGGGAGGTTGCTATGAGTTGTGACACCACAGCACTCTATCAAGGGCAACAAAGTGAGACTCTGTCTCAAAATAAATAAATAAATAAATAAATATTTGCAAATGCCACTTGCAGTTTTTTTAAAAACATAGGCTAATGGGGCAGTGCCTGTGGCTCAAAGGAGTAGGGCACTGGCCCCATATGCCAGAGGTCGTGGGTTCAAACCCAGCCCGGGCCAAAAACTGCAAAAACAAACAAACAAACAAACATAGGCCAAAGCACTCAGAAACCCAGCACTGTGCACAGAACACTTTTTGTCTGCACCGTCCATGCAGCAGACCTGAGCCACATCTGGTACTGAGCTACTGAAATATTAGTAGTGCCATAAAGAAATCAAATTTCGGCTTGGCGCCTGTGGCTCAGGTGGCTAGGGTGCCAGCCACATACACCCAAGGTGGCGGGTTCGAATCCGACCCGGGCCCACCAAACAAGAATGACAGTTGCAACCAAAAAATGGCCAGGCGTTGTGGCAGG